AAACCGTGAGGGCGTGGTCGGCGCCCAAAGCGGACAATATCATGCTACGGTAGAGTCGAGCCAGGATGCAGTGGGGGCCCAGGCTGGGATGTGACATTGTACCATCTCCAACCGAATGGGCCAAAGGGCCATAGGTCAAACATAGTCCTTTGACAAAAAACCATCTCCAACTGAGGGGGTCAAAGGGCCATAGGCCAAACATAATTTATTATTTGAATTAAATTAAACTACCATATCAAAATAAGGTTTTTGGACATATCTTGAGTGTCACTTGTCGCCAAATGAATAAGCCTCCGATTTCTTATCTTTATATAATCTCAATAATTTTTTGGATAGGATTTCGAGTAACACGTGTCGCGTGAGTAACTCTCCAGATTTCTTATCTTTATGTAATCTCAATAATTTTTCGGATAGGATTTGGAGTGACACGTGTCACTAAAGTGAGTAACTCTCAAGATTTCTTATCTTTATGTAATCTTAATCATTTTTTGGATTGGATTTCGAGTGCCACGTGTCAAGATATTGGTTGTGCAAATTTTAGATAGGATTCTTATCTATGTGACACTTCTTATCTTCAGCTTTCAATGTTGTAGGAACGGTGTAGGTATTTATAGGGAAAAAATAGAATTTTTTTTTAAACTCGTCCAAAAAAAAAAATTCAAATTTCAATGGTAATCTAACGTTAGATACCCGTTGTTAGTTGGTGTCATGCTGATGTCAAGTAGCCGTTGACATTCAAATGGGCTGAGCTGAAGGGTTGGCAAAATGTCAAGCTTGACATTCTGGCACTGGAGTGCTGGTCGGAAATGACCAGCCCACTGGCCTGATTTAGGGGTCCGATGGGGCCCACAAGCCTTTTGGCCTAGCCCTCAGTTGGAGACGGTTTTTGTATCATTTCGAGTTATTTTTAGCCCTATAACCTTTTGGCCGAATCGGTTGGAGATGGCCTAAGAGTTACGGTGTGTAAATGACGACTACAAATTTGCCGATAATCTTTTTAGTTAAATAGGACAACGACGTTGTTTTGTACGTATATGACACTATCTTGGACATATACATTAGACCAGCAACAAAAATTAAGCATCATATTCTATGCTAATAATATATTTGGTATCAAATTATATATTATGATCATGCTAAAATATTTGGTAAAAGAAAAGGGAAGAGAGCTTTACCAAAAATAAAAAATAAAAATAAAAAATAAGAGAAAAGAAAAGGGAAGAGAGAATAAAGATTAGAAAATTGCTTAAAATGAAAGAGACATTTAGACAAAGTAACAATCTAGTGGGGCCCTAATGCCGGCCGTTGATATGGGAGAATTTTTAACATATCTGAAACACAGGACGGACGCCATATGCTATTCTACAAGTGTAGATAATTTTTTTTTCTTTAAGTATTCCTTTACTTGTATAATGATATATGACATGTATACTTGTTTTTCGGATGCTAAAAGATCTCCCCGTTGATACAGTTACTGCAAGTTTATATGAAATCTAATTAATTAAATTATTTATGATTAATCTACCTATTTTGTGGAGGTGAGTCATAAGCTAATGATATGATTATGTGAAGCTGTTTCTTAATCTCACATAAAAGTTAGAAACCCTAATTCTTTCTCTTTGTCTTTGTTAAAAGTGACCACAGTATATAAAGAGAGCGAGTAGTTCGTCGGCTCTACTCGTACCAAACAGCAAAAGATCACAGTGTAACATTTCTTGCACGTGTGAACAGAGTCATGCCCGTGGCACGTGTGAATCATCACAGCTTTCAGAAGCTTTTGCTTAATTCGGAGAGAGCAGAATGCAGCCATGGTGATGGGGAGATGACCAGACGGCCAAACGTCCAAGTTTTCGACTGCAGTGGGTTCCCACGTCCGTTGCTTGACGTTGTTTTTGTACTGGTCAAAGTCAAGCCAGCCTTATTTGAAAAATGAAACCCTAAAAGTGTTTTTCTTCTTAATTTTCTTTTTTTTCGTGTGAGTTGGAAACTTCAGAACGGCACAAAAACTAAGCACAAGTGGAACACTTGCAAGTTCACCTCTTGGTGTATATATCCTCTTGTGTTTGAGTTCGTTGTACTCATTAGATGCATCGGATATACAAACAGATATATTTCCGATTATAAGATATATTCCGATTATAAGACATATCTTGTCATTCTTTAATTCTTTCTAGGTAATAGGTATTAGGACGTATGTGTAGTGGAGGAAGATATGAATAAACTGGAGGATGCCTTGGCGGCCCCTCTTGTGTGTAAGTAGTGGAGAACATATTCATAAACTTGAGGATGCCTTGGCAGCCCCTCTTATCTCATAACTGTTTTAGAACAGATAGAGTATAACCATAAAACTAAGATCAAAATCTTGAACTTTAAGCTTCCCCCACCAGCCCTAAAAAAAAATTGATAAAATCTCTCTGCCAAAAATTGAAGCAATGGTCTTTGAGTTTTGGCTCAATTGAAATTTTAGTGCATGAACTAAAAATTCGTGAGTATTGGTCTATGAACTTGTTATATTGTGGAGAAATGATCATTTTGACTAACTTTGTTAGAATTTCTATCCAAAATCAAGGGTTTAAAGGGGCAAAAAATAGATAAAAGTTCTAATGGAGTTAACTGCAATAACCATTGCTCCACATTATAACAAATTTGACACACCCCGACCTAGATCGAGACGTGTTGACCGTCACATGAGTCACCCCAACCTAGATCAAGGTAGCTGGCCGTCACGCCTCGATCTAGGTCAAGGTGTGTCAAATTCATGTACAAATACTTACGAATTTTTAGTTCAGGAATCAAAGCTCAATTTCAGCTAAAGTTCAGGAAACTGCTCTAACTGTCTCTTTTTCATGACTAACGTGGTGGTTTGGTTAAATCAAGTTAGGGTTTATAGGTCTGTCCATGATGTGTTTCGACTTTGGACCGAACAAATCTTACCGAAAAAAAGAGTACATGAACTGAAAGCATCTCACTCAAAGAGATTAGGGCCCAGCGAATGAGTAAAAGAGACTATTCAATTTTCTTTTCCTTTTTATTTTTAGTCCCTTTTGCTTTATTTGAATTCCTTGCAAATTGCAATTGCAGCATCAAGGACTTTTAAAATTTTAATTTTACAAATTGTCTACTTAAATTGAGTGAATTATATCAAATTGCATTTAACTGAAATCTCATGTTTAATATTTGAAGATAATACGAGGTCATCTCATTAACCTAGAATGTAATTAGTTTCTACACTTGTTGAAAAACGCGTATCAAAACACATTGAATCCATTACGGAAGTTTTGGTCTTAATTAAACTAAGTGAATTCTTTGGATATCTTAGAACTCTCACCTATCTCACTTCCTCATCGACCATAATTAAACAAGTGTTTCGAATTTGACCTTATACTTGTCATTTACTATTGAATCTATTTGCGTTCGTTACTATATCAGTATCTCAAACTAATTATATTCGCTAACATTCTCACTTGACGTGATTAGATTAGAATATTATCACCATTCGTGGTTGACATCGCGTTGCATGAAATTACGATCTTAACCACCAAAAACAGTTATTGAAGACTGCAGGCTTGGTTAGCTTATTAAGAAGTTCAACGTAACAATTCACCAAAAGCGATAAGTTCAGAGTCTTCGGAATACGATTTGCATGAAAAAGAAACGTGAGTCCACAGCAGTTTTCAGCCTTCGATGTAGGTTCCGGGACTTGAGGAACAGACAACCGACCACACGCTCTTTGGTCCTTGCCTCCCGTAATGTAAACTGACCTAACGTCGTCATCTATCTTAGACTAAATCCCAAATATAACCCATCCATTGCTCCAAATTACAATACTACGCCCCTGGATTTGGAAGTCGTATTATTCTGGTGTATTTGTCCTTGGCATCACAGTCGACGGCCGGGACTACTTTTTCTGGTTTTCTGTAATTGTAAAGGCCTTTAAAGTCACGTATTTTCTAACTTTAATACAATCCCATGATTAATGAGTATACCGTCGACGACGTACCATACAGATGCCACAAACGTACTAATTAATCCAATCCAATCCAATCCGAAGTTTGTACCTAGTATCCAAACATTATCCACATTAATCCAACCGCGCAAATTGTGGCTGTAGGAAGAAAAAGAAACAAAGGAAAGAAAAGGAAAAGTTGTGACAGCTCAACAAAAATTAACATCTTAATCCAATATTTTTGCTGAGTAATACCTGACGTGTAAATTGACGAAATTGTAACGGTATCACCGACCCTTATCCGCAAAGCAATTACTATTTTCTGGTTAAGTAAAGTTTGCTGCCAAACAAGGTAAAAAATCAGAAAATGGTGAAGTCTCATGTTTGGATGCCCTTGCCTGTGTTTAGGGAAAACTTGGGCAAATTATTAAACTTGATTGTGATTTGTGAGCCCGTAAATCTTTTTATCTGTTTCAATATACCCTTAGCAGTAAAACTTTCAAAACTTATGTTAGTTTTCCCTCTTGGATAGAAGAAAACAAACGTTAATTGGACAAAAACAGTTAGACATATTTGGTCTAGAGCAATTGATAGGTTGCAAAAGTTTACAGGCATCACGGAGTAACTCAATGGTTGTGGACGAATTTCAGACTCATATTTCACATGGCACATTCTCACTTAAGTTCCTGGCTTTGGTGAATCACACGATGGTGGTCAGGGAAGACTGAAATGGTTCATTGAGCCTTCTTGGTCCCCAAAAGATAAAATTACCAAGACGAAATCACTAACTGCTTTTTTTGTAAGAAACAAATCCGTTTCAATATGACCCTTAGATTTATGGTAGCATACTTCAATTGTTTACATGTTACTCCAAATACTATCCAATCTTATCTACAAAAAATTAAGTAGCGTGTATGAAAATTATATTTGATTGCCAATTGAAAAAAATGAAGATACTCTTTTTGTTTATTATTTTTTGACAGCTCAGTACTTCTCTGTAAATTAAGATAATGAATAGCACTTTAGTCTTCTCTATATATACACCCGCTCCTGCTTGCCCAAAAGCTCTCATCTTGTTCCTCTTTGGCCTATGTCCTCACTCATTTTCTCTCTCTAAAACCCTTTTGCCTTCTCTCTCTGATCAAACCTCTTAGCATTTGAACCTCCCAGAAACCCCAACAATGCCTGCTGTTGGTATCGCCACCGGCGGGAACGGCAAGGCCTATGCCGGAAATCTCACTCCTTACGTTCTTGCCACATGTATCGTTGCAGCCATGGGTGGTCTGATTTTTGGCTACGATATCGGAATTTCTGGTACTTAAAACTTCTCGATCACAATTTTAATTACAGTGTCGCAAAGTTTCTTCTTTTTTTTTTAAAAAAACGATGTTTATGTAATTTTCATTCATGATCAGGTGGTGTAACGTCCATGGATTCGTTCCTGAAGAAGTTCTTTCTGTCTGTGTATCACAAGAAGGAGAAAGACAAGACGAACAACCAGTACTGTCAATATGATAGTCAAACGTTGACCATGTTCACATCGTCGCTGTACTTGGCTGCTCTCATATCCTCGATCGTGGCCGCCACCGTGACGAGAAAATTCGGCCGGAAACTGTCCATGTTGTTCGGTGGTCTGCTGTTTTGCTCCGGTGCTATCATCAATGCCGCTGCCAAAGCTGTCTGGATGTTGATCCTCGGCCGTATGTTGCTCGGTTTCGGCATCGGATTCTCCAATCAGGTAGACTACTGCTTCATAGTTTTGACTCGGGGTGGGCGAAAATCATTTTCCCTTTTTAATAATCGAGTCGAGAGATTTTGATATTTTACACGGTGTTTGATTTTTGTTCATTGCATGTTGTCCGTTAAGAACAAGGAACGTGCTGTCCGAAAACCAAAAAAAAACAAATGCCTAATGAGATTCTATTCCTCTTTTTGTTTCCCACAGTGATTTTCGCACATTTTTTTTTATTTAAAATAAGCAAACGAGAATACGAAAATCACTGTCTTTTGCTTATGAATAGAATTAGATCTTACACTTTCCTTCAGATCTGAATTGAAATTACTTGGAATATGACAAAATTGGGTTCTCTGCTTTCTGGTATAATACGCTGTTTGGTTGCTGAGAAAATGTAGGGGAGATAGTTTGCTATTTGCTTTTCCGTTTTCTTAGCAACCAAACAAGGGTTGTGTCATGTGCGAAGAATTTGAATAGAAAATTAAAAAAAATGCAATCAGATAGCGGTTTTTGACTAAATTTAATACAAATTGTCATTTTCTCGGCTTCCTAATATAAAAATAATTCATAAAGTTGTCTACTTCCAAAGTTCCAAGCAACATGACAACTTGTCAAACCCATGTGTGGCCCTAGACCATGACCGTTTTGTTCACTTTAATCAAAATGGTTGCGAAATTGATTACCACTATTCAAATGCAAATCTTGCAAACGGATGTTAGGTCAGTTGATCGGTTGGCCGGATTAATCACTTTTTCTTTATGTACTCGAGTTCGAATCATTTTCTTTATAAATTAGACTAATTAGTTTTTTATGTTTCTTTTGTGATTACAGTCAGTGCCACTCTACCTCTCTGAGATGGCACCCTACAAATTCAGGGGAGCTCTCAACATTGGCTTCCAGCTATCAATCACAATTGGTATCCTTGTGGCCAATGTGCTGAACTACTTCTTTGCCAAGATCAAGGGTGGCTGGGGATGGAGATTGAGCTTGGGCGGCGCGATGGTGCCCGCCCTTATCATCACAATCGGCTCACTTGTCCTGCCAGACACTCCCAACTCCATGATTGAGCGCGGCCAGCACGACGAAGCCAAGGCCAAGCTTCAGCGCATTCGCGGCGTTGATGATGTTAGCGAAGAGTTCAGTGACCTAGTTGCCGCCAGTGATGCCGCAAACCAAATTGAGGACCCGTGGAGAAACTTGTTGAGGAGGAAGTACAGACCTCACCTATGCATGGCAATCCTCATTCCCTTTTTTCAGCAGCTCACCGGCATTAATGTGATCATGTTCTACGCGCCGGTTTTGTTCAACACGATCGGGTTTGGATCTGATGCCTCGCTCATGTCAGCTGTGATCACCGGCAGTGTTAATGTTCTTGCAACTATGGTCTCAATCTATGGCGTTGACAAGTGGGGAAGAAGGTTCCTTTTCCTTGAGGGTGGAGCTCAAATGTTATTTTGCCAGGTAAAGAACCAACTGACAATATGTCATCGATTAATATATATCGATACCATTGTTGTCAACAAAACATATTGACATGTTACTGCTATGTTTTTGATAAAATTGATATGATATAAGTCCCTTATGGACGTCCTGCACAGAGAATTTTTTGACGATTTAGTCAATTCATTGTGTGTTTGCTTTAATTTCAGGCGGTTGTGGCAGCTTGCATTGGTGCAAAGTTTGGAGTAAATGGGACCCCTGGAGAATTGCCAAAGTGGTATGCAATTGTGGTGGTGGTGTTCATCTGCACATATGTTGCAGGATTCGCATGGTCATGGGGTCCCCTCGGATGGCTAGTCCCGAGTGAAATCTTCCCGTTGGAAATCCGATCAGCCGCACAGAGTGTCAACGTTTCAGTCAACATGATCTTCACCTTCATTGTGGCTCAAATCTTCCTGACAATGCTCTGCCACTTGAAGTTTGGGCTCTTCATTTTCTTTGCGTTCTTTGTGTTTGTGATGTCAATCTTCGTTTACTACTTCTTGCCTGAGACGAAGGGGATTCCGATCGAAGAGATGGGCCAAGTGTGGAGGTCACATTGGTACTGGAAGAGATTCGTCAGTGCAGAAGAGGGAGGAGGTTATGAGATGGAGAAGGCATCTCAAACTGTCAAAAATGTGTAATTTGGGTGATGGGCAAATATATGCCTCATTTACTTTTATTTTTATTTTTGTAGCAGTGAATATTACTGTTCCCATCGGCAAGGGTGATATAAAATTATTGTGCATTTATGTCCAATTTAGTTTTGCTATAAGGTTTTTTTACTGATATTTTACTTTGATTTAGAGTACGTAAAATAATATTCGAATTTATATACAGAAAACAAACACATTACTATAACTAACCTAGACCGCTTGTGTTTGCATCTTATTGGGTGGTGATTTCTGCACAATAAGCCAACGGCCAATGCCAACCAGATTTTTCCAGTAAACCCAAATAAGAAGAAGAAAGAATTAAGACCCTTTCAGGATCTTTGTTTCTAGAGCTGAATGATTCAGATATTCGAACCACTCATTTTAAATCTCGAGTTATCATTAGTCTATTCCACTTACTCACCTACACAAACCAAACATCTGAATCTCTCTTTCTCTCTCTTCAATGGCCTTGATCTTTGGGTCCTTAAACTCTAAACACAGAGATCCAAAAAGGATGTAGACTAAAAGAAAACAAAAAAATCATACTTGAATAAATAATAACAAAGGGAGGCAAAAATAATGACTTGCAAGAGGCAACCACATTATTTAAAAAGAGAAAAGGAATTCAATTTGGGAGGGAAGGAGTATCCATGAAGTCAGGAGCAGAAAGTTGAAATTCAATTTCTTGACGAGCACCAATTATTGGTGGATCCACTTAATCAGAAGAGATTCGTATTTGGGTCTAACTAGGGTAAGAGACATCTTGATTAGGACCATCTATTTTCCATTTTATTTTTGGATTGGTTGTTAGGACCATGTTGAGTGAGATTTTATCTCCCAAGCATTAATTTTCGTTTAAAATTTTGATTTCTTTAGTATTATTTGTATTTTTTTATTATATTTTGGTCAGGATCTAAGCTAGCTTATACAATGAGTTAATCGTAATCAAGTATTGAACTCGCTGCTTATAAACTTCACATAGGATTTCGCACTTACAAGTCGAAACTTAACGTTGTAAAAATTCAAGTAATAAGGAGTTTTGTCCATTTAATATAGTCGTTGCACATAGTACTCCGTCTAAATTAATGAAAACATACAAGTGTTAGATATAAATCCAGATTACTTAGATACCCACTAGTCAGTGCCCAAGTTTACCAACATGTGTAACAAGATGAAGACACAAGTAATTTTAAAGACTCATTATTCTTGAAACCAAACACCCTTAAGCCCATAACCAGACACTAATCTTCTCTCTCAATCCACTCACCAACCAGTTAATAGTTGTAATGGCGCATGTTGGGTTAAATAATCATTTGTGTGGAAAATTCGAAGTTTAGGATATTACGTTATTTACGCATTCCTTTTTGTCTCTGTACATATTTATTAATTTTTATTTATTGATATTTTTCAATTTATAATCGATCCGACGATCAAGAATTAAAAGGAGTATATGACAAATAAAAATACGTATGTTAATAACACCATTCTAAATTTATAGGATCTAAGGGAAACTAAATTCAACAACCAAATGAATATTCTCATCACTCTCCTAACTTTATTTCAAGTGGGGAGGTGGGCATCAAATGTCACACATGCTATTGGTGTTGGTATTTTTCTTTTATTTTTTTTCCGCAGTGTAATGATGGGGTTGCAAGAAACTTTTGGTATTGTCGCAAAGCTTGAATGTGAATCCAAGGGATAAATCTTGTACGAATTACTACATGTCACATGCCAAAATCTTGTAGCAACAAAAAGAGAGGTGTGCGGGAGGTGTTTGTCAATTTGGTCACGGCCTTACTATGAATCAAAAGAAGAATCGCATGACTTGGATTTTGAAATGGATATGTTTTTGGATATAAACTTGGGTATCATATGCTAACTAGCTATATCCTTGTTTCAAAAGCACTTTTATACCAAAGCACTTTTTAGAAGAATTTTTCATAGGCTTTTTGAGGTCGAGCCTTGTCACAGCAAAAATGTTGCTATTTTGTGACCAAGCCTTGGAGCAACGAAAATGTTGCTCTTTTGTGACCGAAAGGTCACAGGTTTGAGTTGTGGAAATAGTCTCTTTGCAATGTAAGAGGAAGGCTACGTATGATAGACGTTCCCCCTCCCCTTCCGAGCCTCACAAAACGGGGAATCTTGTTGGCTTGAAGTAGTCCTTTTTTTTTCATAGGCTTTTTGTTGTTGGATGTATAAAGTTTGGGCTTCCCATTAAGATTTGTATTTCGATTCTTGATAGTTTAGTAAACATTTTATTTTGATTCAACTTCTTTTTCAATTCGATTTATAACAGTCGGTAAATACTTTATTAAAAATGACTCCTTCCCAATTCCTGCTCACTTCGATTCATTCATAACTCGATCATGCTATGTCCGGATCTTCCTTATTTTAATTACAAATACGTAAACATGACCTTAAAGGATAAACCCTAGTATGCGGCATGTCTCACCTTTTGTGTGAAGGGTGCGGCATGTAGACGCTCGTACTCAAGAACTTCTCTTTGACGTTGAAGAATATATAACAAAAACACGGTAAAACAACTCGGAAGTCTTTGAGTTGAGTTTAATATATAACGTCCAAAATCACTTGAAAATTAATGGGCAAATACATGGTGACGGATTAATACACATTACTTTCTGGTCTCTCCTTATTTATCATCGTGCATGAACTCTGCAATATTTGAGAGCAGTTGGGCATGCAGCTTGTTAACTGAGTGATCCATTAAGGCAGAGCCATTGGCCAACGAAGAGTATCGTGCAGTTGAGATTAGGGTTGATTGACTCAAAGAAGGCAGTAGGCAAGTTGAAGGTTTGCTCAACCCCAAAACAAGTGTCTCCGCTTTTTACACCGTAGGTTTTATCACACTTTAGGGTGGGAGGCGGCTTCAAGAACCCATGTCCTTATTCAAAATCCAAAAAACAAATGCACGTCAATTCAAAGTCGTTAAATTTCATTCGATTAAATTATCTAATCGCTGCTATTTAGATGTGTAACTTATATGTGCAATTTGATATGCACAAGAGAAAGCCTCATATAAACTTTTAACAACATAAAATTGATAGGATTTTACTGACTATATGTTGTTATTTCTCTCCCTAAAAATTTATTTCGACCAATTTCCCCTTAAAGTCTAAAGCTATTTACAAATTTGCCATTTTCCCCCTTTATGACCTTGTTTCAAAAATAAAAATATCACTTTTCATTGTTTTTAAAAATATAACTTTTCATTGTTTTTAAGAAAAAAAAATTAAAAATGAAAAAGAACAAATAACAATTAAGGACAGATACGCAAATTTTTTGGACGAAAATTGGATAGAGAATGTGTAATTATAAGGATGGGGAGACATTGGTCATTTACAATAGTTTGGTAGGGAAACTGGTCAAAATAAAAGTTTAGAGAGAAAATCGACAATAAAATACAAGTTTGGAGGAGAAATGAGAAAAATTCATCCTTACCGAGAATTTGGGCGTCAGCAAAAGCAATGAGGAGGAGGAGAGAAAGCACCGAAACCAAGTTCACAATCTTAGCCATCCTAAGCTCTTTCTTCCTTTGTTTTGCCATCCTATTTGAGTTTCTACTATTTATAGTGTAAAAAACGTGGGAAAAGAAGCCAAGAAGGTTGTTCATATCCGAGCCTCAGACAAAATGGCCAGCTCTGTATGAGTTGGACGTTGCTTCCGCTGCTCTGCATATATACATTATCATTTAAGCGGATTATACTATACAAAGTAAGCTATGTTACCCTTTGGTTTTTCATCCTATTTGTTTTTTTATTTACACTAAAAGGATAGGGGTGGGCTAAGTCTCACAATAAGCTAGTAATAATATAGTTCAATGTCTCTTTTGACGAGAATCGAACCTAAGACCTCTCACTTACAAGTGAAGAGGAATACTACTAGACCGTATTATCAACTCTGTGTTTTTTCCTTGTCCAATTACAGTTATCAATTATCAATTACATAATAGGCAATCAATAACAATTACGGAAAAGATTCCAGAGTCAACGGCTCTGTTCTAACACCCCCACAAACTGGACGGTCGAGATCAGATGAGTTTGGAACGAAGAGTACCATGGCGTGGCTGATGAATAGCTTTGGTGAGAAGGTCAGCAGGTTGCTCAGTGAATGAAATATAGCACACACTATGACTACCAAGAGCCATTTTTTCACGGACAAAGTGATCCTCAAGTTCAATATGACTAGTGCGAGCATGATGAACAGGATTAGCAGGAAGATAAGTGGCACTTAGGTTGTCACAACGCAGCAAAATAGGGAAGCGCAAGTGAACACCAAGCTTACCAAGAAGAAATCATAGCCAGGTGGTCTCAGCAAAAGCATAAGCTAGAGACAGATACTCGGCTTCAGCAGTAGAGCACGCAAGTATCGGTTGCTTTTGGAACACCAAGAGATAAGATTAGTGCCGAAATAGACTAAATAACTAGATGGTGAACGCCGGATGTCTGGACAACCTACCGAATCAGCATCAGAATAAGCAGATAGTGAAGCAAATGACAACTGAGGAGTGAGAGTGATGCCAATTCCGTTGTTACTCCGAAGATTGAAACAGCTTCTGTATGTTGCTAAATTTTGTTCAAACGGTATAAAATCTGTTGTTGCTCAGTTTGATACTATCGCACAAGTCACTGCACATCTTCAAACTTAAGCAGCGGCTGCAGCCACCCTATTTGAAGAGTGGCAGCACCAGCTGCAAACCAGCCTCAGGTGGAGGAAAGTAGAAGTGCACAAGGCCGGCTTCCATGCCTATTTTGGTACTTGGCCGGCACTTTTATACCTTTCCCTTGCATATATTAACAGTGTCTAGTTTTGACACACTAATTATAGAAAGGGGTGGTGGCATCATCGCCATTCCAACGGTAATGTTGACAGGAATGAGATCCACTCCGGATCACTCTGCATTCAAAGCCCGCAAATTGATAGATCCTGACCATTTTAGAGAGAGAGATCCGAGCCGTCTAAGTTTTTAGTTTTTGTGAATCAGTGAAATGAACTAGTAAGAACTGTAGAAATGAAATTACGTGGTCTAGATCTCTCGATTCTCATGCTCCGGACACAGATCCAGAGTAGATCTCAATCCATGTTGAGAAATGCTAAAATTTTATCTTCGGTAAATGCCACATCACGCAACTAAGACGAGTTTTATTCTCGAAAGAGAAACAAAATCGCGTTATCTACATACATACCGTTCATCATTGTGACTGACTTAGCCAAGTTCAGAGTACTCTCAAATTACAAGAGACTCTCCACTTCAAATTGTCTTCTTTTTTTTACATCAATGTATAAACGTTGGACCGTCCTCATCCTTTTTGTACCTTCTCAATACCACATCCTACACATTACCGAATGATACAAATAAACGATGGTTACAAATGATACACCAAAGTAGACCATCGCTTCTCACTCACATCAGAAAAAGCCACCCGAAACAAATGCTCATGGGGAGTCCACGCCTTCAACTTGCTGACGGGCGAGATATCTTTCCCTCCTCTCCTTCTAAACAAGACACAAAGGGCAAAAATGAATGAAGCACGTAAGAAGGTATTCATTGCACAAGCAATTTCTGTGTGACAACAGAACAATGTACTCACCCATTCATCTATGACAAGTCCTTCTCCAATAATCTTTGGACCAGTTTCTTCCGCAGGTTTCTTGCGTGCCTCCAGCGCAGCATCGGCATCAGCCAACTGGCGCTTCAGTTTTTCCATAGCCTTTGAAGAAACAAAAAAGTATTAATCTCTTAACATAAATGCCAACAGAAAGCCATACAGGTCCGGGATATACATTTACAAACACAAATATTGACATCAAGTTAATTTCATGTCAACCGCACTTACAGGAGTAGAACGCTCTGGATCTAGAAAGACAACCCGTAGTATCTGCTCTACGGCCACTTGGTCCTTTTGCTCATCAAACTGTTACCAAAAAATAATTTGAAAATGAATATTTCAGACGACATACAAATCAATTTTTATATTAAAATTTTTACCAATGAACATGTTTATAAGACCAGCTACTAAATTAGGATTTTATAACTCGAGATAACATTTAAAGGATGCACACTATTTACGTACCAGTTCAGGTACATATTCCATTGCTCCCTTCACCTTCAAGCTCATGATTTTAAACTTAACTCTGCTCTTTTGATCCACTAGTTTTTCATTCTTCTCGGGGGCCTCAACAAACTTGAATACTACCATAACAAACCAAAATAACAAAAAAGATCTCGTTAAAAGGCCAAAACAAGTTAAAGCTTGAGAAGACAAAACTATCTGAATAAAAACGATGATACTTTTAATTTCATGAGACATAATTCCATTAAAGCAAAACAGAAACCCGTATAAAAGGGCAATACCGTTTCCAACACTATATCATAAAGGGAAATGAAATGAATTGAATTGCACAAAGTTATACAGAAACCGTTACCAGTCGCTATAAGACTCTCGCCAGGACTAAGAATCGCTCCTGGAGGACGCATGAAACAACTTTTCGGTGCAGTTGTTTGGAACTAAAGCAAGTAAGCAAGAAAACTCGTTAGAAAAAATCAATCAGGATAAGAAACTCGAACAATATCAACCACATTAGGCTTCACCAAACATTCTCAAATTACAAAAATTCTGAGAAACTACAGAACAGAAGTAAAATCGTAAACACATGACGGTACCTTGAATGCTACAAAGGACTTGCTGGTGTTTTTAATTCTAATGGCACTCCTAACCTGCTTTCCGGGTTCACCTTCAAGAAACAGAGTCCATACACATAAATAAGCAAATAAATCATCAGGCAATAAACCCAATACCGAAATAAATCGGAAAACTAATTTGATTTCCTTATATAGCCACTAACTCATTCGAAAAAATCGTGACAGCAACACGAAAATCATCGATTGCATCCATAAAACTTGGATTAATCACCGTATTATCGACATGATTAGCTTAATAACACGAATCGCAACTTGCAAATGCATTTTTACAGTTTCCTTGATCCTAAAATCAGCAATAAAATCTAAAATCCAGAAGCAAATCCACAACAATTATTCACAATCTACATATAACATACTAAAAATAGAAGAAATAAAAATAAATTAAATTAATTAACAGATAACTAAATAAGGAGACGTACAGGGAAAATAGAGTTTATTGTTGGGATCGAGCTTGAGTCTACGGCGAGTCAGAAGCAGCGACCTGGCGACGGACGACACCGACTTCGCGGCGTTTTGATTCGATCCGTCGCCCTGAGCGTTACTATGGTGGTGGGGAGCGTTGTGCCACGACGAGGACGACGTCGTAACGGCGGCTTTCCCCGACGTCCGAAACGGGCGCTTGAAGAAGCCCCAGACTTTTCCGTCGGACGAGGACGAAGACGAAGACGACGACTTTGACTTTTGGTCAGCGACGGCCATCTCTCAGAGCATTAGACAGAGTCGAAACGGCGTCGTTTGTCTCAAAGTCTCCGCGCAGTGCGGAGCAAATCGGAACCGACGGAGAGGATTCAATTGGATTTGACCGTATGAGTTCACGCCCGAACCTTTTGTGCTTCACCTTTGTGGCGTCCGTCTGTCCTCCTCCTTTCGTACTTTTCTACTTCGACGTGAGTAAAACGACGTCGTACAGCGGACACAGAATGCTTTTTAGCTTTTTGTGAAAGCAAATCAATGGCTAAGTCTGGCTCGCGAAAGACAAACCGTTGACGTGAGGTTCTTGAGTTGACTTTGGGTTAACTACGGGAGATAAACTTACTTATTGCAATGTTTATGTGAATCACAATAGTGATTAGGAAATATCGAAATACCTCTGTGAGCTTTTTATACTTTTGAAGAAGTGGGCTGTTACGACAAAACCATCCGTTGTTTTTTTTTTTATTATTAAATATATCAAATGCTTTTAAGAGAGCTAGATCCACATGAAGTGTGTGATTCATATCTAAAAAAATGAGATACGATTCAAGAGCAGCATCTATCAAGAAGATCAAATAACACGAAGTTGTATAAAAAATTATGTGCAAAATAATATGAAAATATCTTCGATGCATAAACTTATTCAAGGAATTTAAGAAAGCCTTTCCACAGGTTCCATAAGTACCAACTATGCCCACCCCAGATAAATAATCAAATGGGCATTGAAGATTGAAGGTAGGGACGAGAAATTTTTTATTGCAACTGAAACATAAATGATACACTAAAATTACGTGATTTTATAAAAGTTATGAAATTTTTTATTTTTTTAATTATTAACTTTTTGACACATTTATTTTACAATTTGTATAATCATATATTGTGTACTAACTTGTATACTAATCATACTGAAAAATCTCTTATTTAAATACAAGAAGCCGAGCAACCGAATTGGTTCGAACGAAGAGAAAGAAAAAAATAATTGTTACAAGGTGATGTCATTGTACTGATAACATTGTCGAGCAACCGCACTCATTAGGAGAGAGTCTCAAAGTGTTCTCCTTAACAGTGAGTTTTAGTGAATACTTTAATCACATTAATTTCTTATTTGTCTAACAAATCGTTGAATGTGTTTTAAACTAATTTAATCTTAGTGTGGAATGTGAACACGAGAAAAACTTTGCTGATGTCAGTGATCACCACCAAT